AGAATCCCGCTGTGCCCCCTCCCCATCGCCTGTGTCTGCGCCGTCACCTGACAGTCCCCACGCCCAGGAAACCTCCGTCCCCAAATCCTGCTGCTCCCCCACTGCTATCAGAGATGCTGCTGTTGTCGGTGCACAGCTCTTCCCAATTATCTGTTGTTTTTCCATGGAAAAAGGTGTCCCCTCCCAGTGACTGGTGCTGAGCTGCTGGGCGGCTGCAGATAAATCCTTCCATGCCTCAGTTTCCCCTCTGGGGACACAGTGCCTGCAGGTCTGGACCAGCAGGCTCAAGCCTGGTCAAGCCTAAAACCACATTTTTGGCCATTTTCCACTGTTGTCTGGCCATTGCTGCCGCGGAGACATGGCTCTGATCCACGACCCGGGAGCTCTGCGGGCTCTGCCAGTCCCTGGGGAGCTGGGGCTGAGTGGGACACGGACAAACCCCAGCCCTGCTGTGGGTGGGGATGGTTCCTTCCCTGTCATGAGGGTCCCCAGCAGCACCTGGAGGCGAGGGGACCCCCGGGGAGGGTGGCAGTGCCGTGACTCCCTCGTGCCAGGGCTGCAGTGTTGGCCATCTGCAGTGGTCTCACACCTGCGCCCACCGCATGCTTGGCACTGGGTGGGCACACTGGCTCCAGACCCCCCTCCTGTGAGCCCCCACCGTGCCTGTGTGGGCCCAGGCTGGCACGGTGCTGGCAGAGCAGCCAGGCAGAGCAGGGCCACATGGGCTGGGCAGGAGAAGGGCAGACAGGTCTGGGCACAGTGGGGATGAGGGCTCTGAGGAGCATCAGGGGCGACTTGATGCTGCTGGATTAACCCTCGGGTGCAGGCAGGGCAGGGCAGGGGAGGTGGTGCTGAGCTGTTCTCACTCCTCTCTGAAGATGCTGCAGCTGCAGTGCTGCCTGTGATGCCGCAGGGACTGGGAGGGAAAGGGGCCAGAGCAGAGCCCCCAGCTCTGAGCTCTGCTCTCCCTAGCACCACAGTATCTTCCCTTCAAGCTCCCAACACAAGCTTCAGAGCACCTTTAGGGGTGTCCCAGCCTCCTTCCCCACCTCTCCAGCGCTCCTAGCTCCAGGGTGGACCCTGCTGGGAGCTGCAGGGGCTCTGTGAGGGGTGACCCTGGGAGCAGGGTGTGGCTGTGCCCCCCAGCAGTTGTCCCTCCAGCCCTGATCGATGCAGCCCAGCATTAACATAAAATCGATGTCCCCTCCCCTGCCCAGCCTGCAGTCACCCCACAGCAAAACCCTTTAACCCCTTCGCCTCTCCTCTGGGTACCCATGGGATGAGAAGGGGGAAGACAGAAGGATGGAGGTCAGGATGGAGATTCCTCCTTTAGCCCCTTCATGCAGCTCCCTGCAATCTTGGGCCCTGCTCTATCCCCAAGAACTTTCACACTCATGACACCAAAGGGGAAAATTTGGGACAGGCTCTGGTGGCATGACCATGGTTACACAGGGATTGCAGTGGCAACAATCACATGCAAAATCACATGTCCAAATCCATGTGGGATCAGCTCCTCTAAACATCTGAGCAGGCAGAAATGGGCAGGAACCTGGCAGGACCAGGCAAGAATGGGCAGGAACCTGGCAGGAACAGGCAGGAATGGGTAGGAACCAGGAGGAATGGGCAGGACCAGGCAGGAATGGGTAGGAATGGGCAGGACCAGGCAGGAATGGGCAGGAACCAGGAGGGAATGGGCAGGAACCAGGCAGGAATAGGCAGGAAGAGGGGTGGAGTTGGGGCTGGCAGAGCTGGGGCTCAGCACACCGTGTCCATTCAGCAGCTCCCCTCAGTCCATTGCACCCTGGATGGGGTTGGGGTCCCCATGACCCCCCCAAGCCAGCCCTGCTCTATGAAACTTCCAGTTGCAATTAAGTGGGAGACTTTAATTAACAGGGATGAGTCACAGATGGACTCTGTGACTCCCTTGGGGCTGTAGAGGGACAGTACATGTGTCCCCATGGGCCTGGGGACAAGGGACACACCACGTGGGTGAAACATGTCCACCCCACTCAAAGGGAGTGGGGTGTTGGGGTGCTGGGTGGGTGCCAGAGCCTGTGTGCCCCAACATCAGGGGGTGATGGGGACAGTACTGTGCCTGTGGGGTGACCCTGGCCGTGTGCCCCAGTGCCCAGCCCCAGGCGTGGGGTGACCAGAGCCAGTGGCCACAGTCTGGCACAGGGGCTGTGCCCACTGCAGCCCAGTGCCAACCCCCTCCTCGCCTCGGCTGGCCGTGCCACGCAATCTGCTCTGCTTGCCTGCCCCCAGCCCCGGGCAGCCTGCCACCCTGCCCAGCCAAGCCTGGCTGGGGACCTCGCCCTTCT